AGAGGCTGACAGGTTAAAAAACAAAGATGAGCCACAGGCAGCTTTTGCCTAGGTTTGGATTATTACAGGAAATACTGCGGTTTCCATTTGTGATTTCAGTTCATTGTGAGCTACAGGGCACCATCTCGCCCCAGAAATACTTGGATTCGACTAGTATTTGGATCAGATTTTTGCAGCACTCTGGGTGGTGGCTTGGGGAGATGCACCCACAGCTTCCTCATTTATGTACATCCCAGAGCTTACAATAGCTTCTTGTGCTGGCAGAGGAAACCAGAAAATCTTCCGTGGAGTCCCAAGATTAGGGTTATTTGTGCGATCTTTTTAAAGTGAAACAAGCACCATCTTGTTAGCCGATATACATCTTGAAAACAAAAAGTTTCCTTCAAAAGTGACTCAAAATGTACAGCAGGGCATGGAGAGCAAACAACAAAAATTACCAAACACTCCACACCTGCTGAGATGGCCTGTAGGAGAAGTGTGTCCATTAGTACAAATTGAGCTATCCCAAAGGGTTTTTCAAATATTATAATAATAATAATAATAATACAAAAAGTTTGCCCTTGAAACTCAAAGGAAATTACACTCAACACACAGTAGGTCCAAGGAAGGGAGCAATGGTGGACTTGGAAATTTATTGAGACTCTACCTAAGGTTTTGGTGACTACTATAAAGAAAAAAAATTGGTAGTCTGTACACCTACAGGATGAGAGCTCAAAACTTTGCACCAGTCACGTCCTCTTTGGACAAGCCTGTGGCTTTCCGGTGCCAGGGTCCCCAGCTGAACGAACCAGACTTGATTTGAACCTTCTATATCATCATTAAAAAAAATTACAGTGTGGGTTTCAGAAATGGTTAGCATTTAACCCTTCTCTTCACAGACAGGGGAGTGCTGTATACTCCCATCCACACAGTTAGAGCCAAGGGCCTCCTCAATTCCTGGTAGGCCAGGAGGAGTCTGATGTGGTAGGTCATCTGGGCTAATGCCCAGAGAACAGGAGAGGCGCTAAAATCCATATTTGGCTTGGGTCTGACGCCGGCTGAGTTTGTTTTCGGACCATGTGTTTTTCAGTTCCAGTTCTCGCTCCTTCGCCTGTAAAAAAGGAAGTGAAGAGATTAAAATCACAACAGTTGTTTGTTGTTTTAGTAGCCCTTTGCCTTCCTCTGTCCCTTCACATGAGAACCGCAGAGCCCTTCACAGTTAGATCTCTAGTGCCATGGTTGAGAGTTTAACCTTTTTTCATCGGCAGACTGCTAACCATTTCAAATGGAGGCGTGAGCCATTCTGAAAATCTTCAGACCCCCCAGTGTGCAGACCACAGGCTGAAAGCCACTGGTGTAATATAAATATCCTGATAGAGACCTGAAGTAAGAGGTAAGGGCTGCCTAGGCATCGTTGACCCAGGTATGAAATGCTACTTGGAGATGGAGCCTTAGCAGCTGTGCTACCTGACAGAGGAAACGTGTAATCCTGCATGCAAGTGATGTTCACAGGTGGGAAGGGATCTTTAGTGACCACAGGCAGCCAGGCCCTCTGGTTTAAGTTCCATCTACAGCAGCGCAGCATCCTTCAACTCACACTGGGACACTGGCTCGGGCCATTCGGAGGGAAGGGCACCACCTACAGAACCACTTCCTGCAGCAGCTCATTCCTTAGAAGTTTTACTCCGGAGATGCCCCAAGACAGCTGTGGCCAACCCGAGGCTCGCAAGCTGCATGTGGTTCTTCTCCCTCCCCAACCCTGGATACGGCTCGCAAAGCGCCCCGCACACCCCAAAAACGGCCTTCTGCTCCCAGCTCCCTGTGCTGACTTGGGCAGGGGAGCTGTCCAGTGCAGTCATTAAAGAATTAAAGATATAGAATTAAAGTTGGAGTTGGCTGGGGGGAGCTTGATGAGGCCAAAAAGCCTCTAAACACATTTAAATGCTTTTTCTTAAAGGGGTAGAGCTTTTTTTCCCCTCGACCAAACACGATCAGGCGCTCCTTTTAAAGGGGCAAAAGGGGCAGTCCTTTTTTTTCCCCGGCTCTTCGTGCTGGATCCACTACTATCTTGGCTCTTTGCCCAGAATGGGTTGGCCACCCCTGCCCCAAGAGGTTCACAGACTCCTATCAAGTCTCAAAAGCCCTGTAGAGTATGCATTCCCTCTGCAAAGTAAACGGACTGGGGCCCCATTAGATTAATGTGCCTCAAACCCACACAGCAAGTTGATGCAGAGCCAGGAACAGACCCCAGGAGTCCAGACTCTCAGGCTCCCATTCTAACCACTAGTCAACACTTCCTTCAGCTGACAGCAGGTGGCTAAGCCAGTGACCTCCAAACACAAGCCTGGGACAAGCCATTTCTCTGTCGCTCTACACTGGGCTTAAGAGGAAACAGTCTGCTTAGGAAGGCATCTGCACTGACTCCCTCATCCTCCAGTCAGGAAACCAGAAGTGGTGGCTAGGGTCAGTTCTACGAGCAACAGCAGGCCTTCTGCCACCTAGTGGCTTCAGCATTCTTGGCTCCATCACACGCAATCCCAGATTTGGGAAGTCAGGGCTGGGTGAGGGGAGGATCTACCAGAAACACTGTGAGGTACTGTCTGTCAGGATCATGGCTTTCTTCCTGGCCTTGGCCTGGCTTTCCCTAGACACGTGCTCCAGCTGTGCAGCCCATCGAAAGGCTGGTGTGCCTAATCAAGTGTCTGGGGAATCCAGAGAAGTTGCACAGGAACCAGGCTTAACGCATGTACTGTCAAGCTTGCCCAAGGGAGGTCCAGGCTGTAAATTGTTTGCATGAACCCTCTCTGCCTAACTCTGTTTCCATATGCCATAGGCATGCCCCATTAACCTCGTGCCAAAGCGCCATAGATGAGTTTTCACTCATGGTGCATCAAGACCCTCTGCTATTTCAGATACCCATGGTATCAATGCACTGCCCTTGACCACTTGGCTTTGCCATTGTCTCCTAGGGCTTTTATCTTTGGCAGATCAGCCACACATATCCCAGCCCACACAGTGTTAACAGAGGCCATGCATTCACCCCAGCTGGGGAGGACGGAAACAGGCAGACTGGAAGAGGCTTGCATTACCCTCTAATGACTCTTTCTGGTCGATGCACGGTACATAAGAGTTGAGAGGGAGATGAGGGACACTCAGGGCTTGGATCCGGTCTCAGCCACCACAAAGTTTCAACCCAAAGGCAGAAATGATTGAAGCACCAAGAGTGGGTTCAGCTCTGCGAGGCCTCCATCCCACACAGCTTGCTGCAGCCCTCAATTCCCCCCACAAAACCACTGCAGGTTTCAATGAGAAGCCATCAGCCATCAATTGAGATCTGCCTGATGTCAGCCACCCGGGGGGGGGGGCGCTCCCTCATAACTGCACAAGTCATTGATTCCACCAGCTCATTTTCACTGCTACTCTCCACTCCTAAGTGACAGTGCATTTGTAACATTCCATAGTAGGCAGCTGACCTGGTGGATCAGGTACGTGATCTGGTGTTTTCTTCTCTGCTGTCCGGTTGGCTGCTCTCCTTTTTTCTAAAGACAAAACAAATTCAAAATCACTATCGCTGATGGAAAGACACCGCCCCCAGCTAGTGAAATCAGCAAAGGAGAATGTATCATGGATAGGAAGGTGATGCTGTAGAAACCAGAAGTGTTGGGTTTGCTTAAAAGCCCTTGACAAGGGCTGTGGGACATTCTCCACCTCTGGCAATTGTTTTTTGTTTTAAAAGATATCCTCTAGCTTAAAAGGAATTTCTCCAGTCTGTGCTACATATGGAAGTCAGACAGAATGATCCTGTCTGGCCTCAGAATCTATGAATCCAGAGGCAGACCCATTGTTGAGGAAGCTCCTAATCAATGGTTGCTGCTTACTCATTGGGTCTAAGGGCCTGTTTCAAGAGGCTGTACAGCCGAGTTGTACTTAATTACTTTGTATTTACAAAGCATCTTCCTCCATGTGCTCTGAACACTGATTAAACCACACAGCACATACAGAAGCTGGGTGTCATACCATTTTACAGACGGGGAATGGAAGTAGAAACAGATAAAGTGGGTTACAAGGTCACAGTGAGTCAAAGCCAAGGTGGGAATAGAATCCAAATCTCCCAATCCCCAGCCTTCTGCTCTAACCCCTGAGCCATGCTGCCTCCTTGTGCCTGCTACATGGGAAGTTTTAATTTTGTGATTTACCGTTTCGGTGGTCAAGAAACTGGAGTGAATAATAGTTTGTTCCTAGTTCTGTTAAAAGAGCACTCAGAGGCACTAACCAGATGAGAAACACGCCGTGCTTAATGGTGAACAAATCCATTCTACTCTATACAGGTTTGCACATGCCCAGCATCACTGTAGATTTGAGGGCCTTACAAATCAGGACACAGTCCCTACCCTGCACAACCTGCGATCTGAGCAGTGAGCTAGCTGCAGGTTAAGTTCTCAAGGTGCTCCGTGGGCCCCAGAGACACTGCTTGGAGCTGAAGTCCTCACTCCTCCCTGGTAGCAGCAGTGTTCCCTCTAAGGTTTTCCATTCACAAGCAGAGAGAGTTTTGCCTTGGACACCAATATGAAAGTCACGTGCGCTGGTTCGGATGTGTGCCACCGTGACAGGCACCCACGTTATTAACAAATATATGTATAAAATGTGATGGAAGAAAGAATATTAAGATTCATGAAAATGGAGCTCCAGTACTTTAGATAAAAATATAATGGCCAGAAATATTCCAATATGTGCCAGACATGACAGATAACCTTTTCTCCTGGTAAAACCAAGCCTAAAATAAACTGTCAGATAATATCTGAACTGCCTTTCCACTGCCCTGTGTCAGTCAAGCCCTTCATATTGATAATATGAAGAAAATTCAGGTAGAGAGAAAGTTGGCATGCAGTGAGAGCGTGAATTAAAGGGGAGAAGAGGAGAAAATAAGAGAAGGATGGAGGGGAGATGAGAGAACAGAACCCAGAATTAGAAAAAGAGGAAGAAGTGGGATAAGAAAAGTGAGGAAAAAGGGAAACAAAAAAATATTGGAAAAATTACACCAAAAATGGTGTATGTGGCAGGGGAAAGAAAGAAAGAAAGAAAGAAAGAAAGAAAGAAAGAAAGAAAGAAAGAAAGAAAGAAAGAAAGAAAGAAAGAAAGAAAGAAAGAAAGAAAGAACAGAATTAACACAACACAGACGTGGTGGATACTTAATATAAAGCTGCTTTAGCGCCTGAATAGCAATAAAAAGTAAAATACAGGGTAAAATAGACAGAGAGGCCACACAGCTAGCAGTTTATCTAAGGCAGCAAAATATTGTAAGGAGGGGTGGTATGAGTTGAAACAGGAGAGGTTCTGATCCAGGGTGAAGGAGCATTTGGGAAGAGAAGGGCTCAGAGCTATGGGCACTCTGGCTAGGAAAGATTTTTTTCAGGGTGGGAAGAAGGATGGATCTTAGAAGAAGGGGAATGTTTCTGGGAATTCTGAACCTGGCTGGCTCAGGTAGGAACGGTTAGGAATGAGCCTAGGACAGGGCTGGGTAGATGCGGCCTGGGGGCCAGATCCGGCCCATCTAACACTTTGATCCGGCCCGCGGTCTGCATCTGGTCACTTTCTATTTATACCCTGCTGCCTGTGCCACAAAATTTCCAGGCGGTAGGATCCTATTTAAATAGCTCCCAGTTGTGGCGCTACCCCAGCAGGGCCTGGAGCCACCAGCCTTTTAAATAGCTGCTGCAATCCCAGGCGGCTGCCAGGCAGCACAGTAGTGGGGGGCCAGGAGCCACAAGCCCTTTGCTATGTTTTTAATTCAAAGCACCTGGCCCCAGACAAGTCTGGAGGGAGCTAGTCCCACCCCTTCCGCCCCAGGCCCCACCCCTTCCATGGGTGGAGCCAGCCCATGACCACATACTAAAAGTCATTAAGTGGCCCCACCCCCGCAAAATTTATTGCCCACCCCAGCCTAGGATGTGGGGCTCAGATGGAAAGAGGATATAGGAGGACACAGGGGCAAATGGAACTTTGTTCTCAGCTGGGATGGGTTGGGCTGGCAGAGTTGAGTGGGTGTGAACTGGTGGGTGGGACAGACAGCCCAGCTGGGATACTGGCTATAAGCACAATGAGACTCCATGGAGCACTGGAAATAAAGAGCAGCTCCTCGAGGTTCACAAAGGGATAAATACTATTTTCACTGTCCACCCAAATCGCTTCCCTGGACTCTCCCCCACCCCTCTAGTTCAATTCACTTTCAAAAACTGGCCCTGCTGCAGGGTCAGGGCAGGGAAGGGGGAGCCTCCTACCTGCAGCCCCATCAGTTATTTTGGACCCTGCCAGTGTCATTAGCAATCAGTGGTGAAGTCTGTTTGGAGTGGGGGTAGGGAGGTGAGGGGGGTGAAGGAGCCCAAGAAGCAGGTGGAGGTGAGCTGGGCACTGCTGGTGGCTAGGCCAGTAAGAGTGGGATCCAAGAGCTCACAGTCAACGCCTCTCCCCTCTCCCATGTGCACACAAAGGGACCCACCCGAAGCCTCCGCTTTTTCTCAGTGGACTAAAAACTCCAGTCCTCTTCCCCCACCCCCAGTCACCCTCCTCTTCCCAAACCAAACCATGCACACACTCACCTGCACCTCGCTAGGGTGCCTTCCTTCCACCACTCCTGGCCGCCTTTTGTGAGGGTACGGGGAGAGGAGTGCAGTGGTTGCAGCTTAGGGCCGCTGCCGGAGCTGGAACCGGGGCCACAGCGAAGCTCCCCAGCAGGGACAATCTCACAGCGCCCCAGCTCCAGCCTCGCACACCTACCACGGGAGCAGGAACACACCAGTCTCTTGCCTTCCAGTAGGAAGGTACATGCTGCTGCATGGCTCTGCGAAGGAGGTGGGCGGGCGTAGAATTGTCTGTGCGCGGCCGTGCAGGCCCGCACCTTAGAGAGAACTACGGTCGGCAGGGAGAGACGTTGAGGAAGAGGGAGAGAGGAGTTTCTCAGTGGGGTCAGGCACTCCCAGTGGTCCGCAGTTTGAGAAAACCTGCACTACACTATATTCAAATCACCTCTTGGCTTTTCTGATAAAAGGTCTCATTTATAAGACACTTTCTCCAGGCCTCAAATAATTTTTGTCGATATTCTCTGCACTCTCTCCTAGTTTTCAACATTCATTTTAAAACATGAGCATGAAAAATGGATGTTGCGTTGCAGTACTGATCTCACCAATGCAATTCAGAGATGTGGAAACAAGTTCCTTACAGCTTTGACAGCAGCCCTGAGGCTCACCATCCCCTTGCTACCAATCTACCTATCTGACCGCATCTGTGTGGGTCACAATCATTAACGGATTTTATCCTCAACATCCCCTTTTTACAGATGGGGAACTGGGACACAAGGTCAATGACATGACTGGCCCTTGCCTGGAGCAGAGCTGGGAACTAAAGGTAGGTCACCAGCATCCTAGCCAGCACTCTACCCACTAGGCAATACGTCCTGCCCCTACCTTGCTGAAAGATTTCATGGTCTTCTCCTCTGTTAAGGATTTGGTCATCCACTGCTGGGCTCCACTCAGCTGATCATCCCCTTTGATCTCCACAAAGTTTATCTCCTCCCGCCCACGGTTCCGTTTGCCTTGGAGACGCTTGAACTGAGAGGGGAATGAAAACAAAGGTCAGAAGAGAATTATGCTCCTATTACAGGGCCTGGATACACTGCACCAAGCAACAGCGTCTGGGGCTTGGAAAGATGAAGCTTATCTGCAATGCTGGGCCACTAGCATGTGCCTCTTCTCCGCCAGAAAGTCCTTCTTAGTAACTCTGCTCTTCTAAAGAGCAGCAGATCTCACAGCTGTTTACAAATAATGAGCCCCACAAACTCTCTCCCTCATACCCAACCCATGAGATGGGGAAATATATTTTAAAAATGGAGAAACAAGCAACTGAAGACTACGTTCCCTCTAAGCTGCACAGTCACATGGTGGCATAGCTGGCTCTGCCCACCAGCCCTGCACGGAGCTGCCATGGCTAGTGGACATACACCCCTTCTCTGGCGCCCACCAAACCTAGCCCAGACCTGCACAGCTGACACCTCTCCCCCAGCCGCACCCTCTGAAGCTCGGGTGGCCATGGAGAGGAGCCTCTCACCTGGCCCCAAGTGGCTACCATGGGAGAAAGCTGGGTGAGGGGAAGGGGAGTCCTCTCCCCCAAACTCCTCATCGCTGGCCTCAATCCACAGCTGGCACGAGGGATGTTAAGATGCATGTAATAAGTAACCTGTAAGCGGCTACACAGGGGGCAGCAGTAGGCTTTAGGGATGTAATGAGAAGTCAACTATACGAATAACTGATAAGCCGAGGCTTACTGGTTAATCTTGTCGACTACTGATAGAGGCAGCAAGTGGGGGAAGGGAAGATGGTGCTGGGGGGGAGTCAGCAGCACAGAGGGCAGGGAGGCTGCTGTGAAGCAGCCTTTGCCTGAGCTGGGCCCCCCCCCTGGGTAGGGGCTGCTGTTGGACCAGCCTCTGTCAGCGACCAACCGGAGCCTGTCCCCCTCCACAGCAGCCTCTGTTTGGGGGGAACTCGGACCCAGCATCCTCTGTTCATGGGGAGCTCAGACCCCCCACGGACAGGTGCTGCTGCCACCCCACACTGCTGCCTTTGTTCAGTCAGCAGCGCAGGAGGCTGGTTTTTAAACTGGCTCCCCTCATGGACCGGATCCCACCTGGCACCCCGGGCTGGTGCCTCTGATACAAAGGCAGTCGTGTGGAGTGGCAGGGGGCTCCCCGAGAGCGGGGCCGGAGTTTACTGGCTGCCAGCCCTGCCCCTGGCAACTACAGATAAGAATTCATGCAGTTACTCGACTATTTAATTACCCAATATCTAATATCGCCAGTAGGCTCCCCAGGAGCTGGTGCAAACGAAGAACCAGCTTTTAAGCCAGCTCCCTGTGCGTGTACCATCTCCTGCCTGCTTCCCCGTGCTGCTGCCTCGGATACAGACGTAGCAGGGCAGGGCCTCAGGAAGATGGTACACGCACGGGGCTTGCATGTAACCATGAACATTAGTACTTTCACATCCCTAGCTTGTATCTTCATTTGGAGCACTCACCCTCCTGCACCGAGCCTTATGCCCCAGCCCTGAGGCCCCTAACCTCATGGCCCCATCCCCTCCACACACTGTCCATGCGCAGTGATAGAAATGTAGCCGTGTTAGTCTGGGGTAGTTGAAGCAAAATGCAGGACAATGTAGCACTTTAAAGACTAACAAGATGGTTTATTAGGCGATGAGCTTTCGTGGGCCAGACCCACTTCCTCAGATCAAATAGTGGAAGAAAGTAGTCACAACCATATATACCAAAGGAATACCATTAACTCACAAACATCCCACTCTCCCTACCTCTAATATCATCAATTCACAGACACTTACCTTCCTTCCTCCCCCTTCCCACCCCCCCGCCTCCTCCTTCTGTTCTGCAATGTGATTTGTCCTTTTCATATTTGTTCTTTTTTTTAATTGTATCCTTTGGTATATATGGTTGTGACTACTTTCTTCCACTATTTGATCTGAGGAAGTGGGTCTGGCCCACGAAAGCTCATCATCTAATAAACCATCTTGTTAGTCTTTAAAGTGCTACATTGTCCTGCATTTTGTCCATGCGCAGAATGACATGTGTTTTGTGAAGCAATGTGGAGGTAATACACCCCTTCGTACTCAGGCACATCACAAAAGTCATTCTGCACATGGGCATAAAAGCAAGAGGGAACACTGCCCTATGTCACTGGCAAAGCCAGAAACAAAACTGAGTAGCCCTGGCTTCCATACCCTCCCATTCTAGGAGTCAAGGAAGCACTGAAAATGTTCAGTCACTCCACGTTCACGCGGCCCAACTGAGCAGAGCTCTAAAGCAACACGGCATATGAAATGAGCTGAGGCAGCTGGAAGGGAATAGCACACAACAGTCAGTGCTTTCTGCAGCATCATTTGATTCCAGATGCTAACTTTGCTGGCAGTTTCTGGACCATGGCAGCAGTCTGTGACCCATTTCATTCGGATTTTGAGCTGAATCTGCTAAGTCCTTGGGACGCGAATGGACCAAGCTGGTTTAGCTGCAGTTTTTGCATTGCTTTACAGTGTAAGCCAGCTAGATGCTGCACATACCACACCATGTTGTGTGTGACATCGACTCCCTGCTACATCCAGAGTGAAAACTACACTGGACTTGTTGGATGGTCTCCTGCTGATACCAGCTTATAAAGCAAACTATACCACCCGGAGTAAAAGACCTGGAGATCACTGGCATTAGGGATGTTAAATTGTGTATAATCAGCTAACTGAGTAGTCTATGGACTTTCCATCGACTGCTTGATTAGTCAATAAGGGGGGCACTGGAGAACTGCAGCGGGGTTCGCTCCCTTAACCCTGCTGTGGCTCTGCCTTTCAAATGTATTAAGAGCTGCTAGGCTCTAAATACATTTAAAAAGCAGAGGTGTAGCTGGGAAGAGGGACCAGGAGCAAGCAGGGACAGCTGATTCCAAACTCGTGCCCAGTTCCAGCTATGCCTCTGCCTTCCCCGCCCCAGCTCCTGCTATCCCCAGCTGCCCCTCTCTGATAGAGGCAGCAAGGGGGAGAAGGGGGAAAGCAACTAGTCGCTTACATCCCTAGCAGGGGTATGAGAAAAGTACTTTTAAGCTGCCCATTTTCAATCAGTGACCTCATAACAAGGACTACTATAAAAGGAAAAAAGGCAGGAAAACCTAATGACACACCTAGAGGTCAGGGCCGCTGGCTTTGCCAAACATGCTCCCAGGAATGTAATACGTGACTTAGAGACATTCACGGAGGAATGGCCCATCGATGGCTATTAGCCAAGATAGTCAGGGACACAACTCCATGCTCTGGATGTCCTTCCAAGGCTCTGTTCAAAAGATATAATATTGGCTAGACCAGGAGTGGGCAAAATATGGCTCGTGGGCCAGCTCCGGTTTGCCAAGACACCAGATTCCGCCCACGGAAGCCTCAGCCAGGTTCCCTGTCTGCCCAGGGCCACATGCTGCTCAGAGCAGCTCTCTGAATGCTGAAAGCCCAGGGGGAGGGGGAGAGGCTTTGTACACTGACCATACCCCTAGCACAATCTCACAGATCTTATTGGATGGTTTCCAGCCAATGGGAGATGCCTGTTTGCAGGACAGGCAGCGCAAGTAGTACCCCCCTCTCCCCCCAGGCTCACAGTTTTCAGAGCAGCACAAATGGCCTCTGCAGCAGATGCAGGGGCATGGAAGGCAGGGAGCCTGGCGGAGGAACCTGCTAGGTTGCTGGACAGGAGCTGCCCAGGTAAGTGCCTCCTGGCCAGAGCCTGTCTCAGGCACCCCAGCCCCTCCCTCCCCCCAATCCTCTATTCCCCTCCTGCACTCCTACCCCTTCCCAGGCCCTGCACCCCAATTCCCTTCCCCAAGTCACAACCCTTTCCCAGATCCTGCACTCTCTCCTAGACCCCTCCTTAAGGTCACAACCCCTCCAATCCCTTGCCCCTAGTCACAACCCAAATTCCTGCACCCCCTCCCAGACCCAGCACTCCCTCCTGCACTCAGACCCTCTCCTGGACCCTGCATCCCATTCTGCACCTGTCTCCTACCCCAGGTCACACCACCTTCCTTCACTCCTCCCTCCCAGATCCCACACCCTCTCTTGTACCCCAGTTCCTTACCTCAAGCTCTCTTCTGCACCCAACCTTGGCCTTTGACCACTTACCAAATTCTTGGCGTGGCCCTCCATCAAAATGTACTCCCCCATCCTTGGGTAAGATGGACTACTGGTATGACCCAGTATGGGCATACTTCTGTACAGGCAACAAGGCCAAATTCTAAGCTGATACAAAGTCATGCAATTCTACTGACTTCACCATAAATCACTGTAGCTCCATCTAAGTCAGCAGAACGCCACAGACCTATAACCCAGAGTTAGTTACTTTCTTAGCATGGGAGACTTATTTATTACTGAAGACTAGTGAGAGATCAGTCAATGTTAATGCAGCTTCTGATCTCTGCTTATTTGGCTGTGCTGCTTATGCACATTGGCGTAGTTTGGTTTAGTAAGGCATACTACATCATTAAAAGCAAATGTATTATTTAGAGCTGTCAAGTGATTAAAAAAATTAAATTGCAATTAATTGCAATGTTAAACAAAAATAAGACTCCAGCTGACCCCGGGCTTCACGTTGTGCTGCCCCTTTGAAGCGCCATGGCATTTCAAAGGGGCAGCACTGTAAGGTCTCCACTCTGCACTGCCACAGCATTTCAAAGGGGCAGTGCAGAGTGGAGCCCAGGATCAACTGCGCGTGCTGCCCCAACGCCGTGGCAACATTTCAAAGGGGCAGTGCTGCACAGCTGATCCCAGGCTCCACTTGGCGCTGCCCCTTTGAAATGCTGCATTTCAAAGGGGCACCACTGCACAGCTGATCCCAGGTTCCGTTTGCACTGCCCCTTTGAAATGCCATGGCAAGGTTAATTCTGCCCTGCGTTAATGCGCGTTAATTGACAGCCCTAGTATTATTGTTACATTTCAGAATTCTTCCCTTTCCCTGTGAGATATGGGTATTATCAAACTGACTATGGTTACTTTAAGGGAATGGAAGTGGGTAGCAGCAGGTATCAACGGCTGCCCACCATAGGACACTAGACCTGACCCAGTATGGCAAGTAGTGAGGTACAGGCTTGAGGGACCAGTGTTTTGAGCTGCCAAGCAGATCCTATGTTCTCATAACACATAATTGTGAACTCTGTGGTAGGATAGATGATAAATGCCAACCGCTTCATCGTCCATGAAGGATGAGTCGGTGCCCATTTCCTGTGGTGGTCCTAGGGCTGGATCCATCTCTGGGTAATAGCCACTTGCGTAGTAATCCTATAATCAAGAGGAAAATAGGTTTGTCATCAAGATACTAGAACAAAACTAGACACAGGTACCAAGATGCAGCACTGGATCTGGAATACGATGCCGGTAAAAAAAAGCTGCTTTCAGGGACATCACTTGACCTTGGAGGTGTGTGTGTTGGTTGATACACATAATGAGTCATGTACATGCCTTACCCTGAGCCCTACAAATGAACCAAACCTCCCCCATCCCCGTGATGAATAGGAAGGGTATTACCCTTTTCTGGACATTTGTGTCACTCAGTTAATTAAATTACCTATAAGCGTTAAAACCACAGACAGCGGGTCCTAGAAAGTCTCCAGCAAGTGAGTTGGCAGGAAGTCAGGAGAGCCAACAGAAACAGAGTGTGTGTTTTTGAATTGGGAACAGTGACCTTCCTGTTCTAGTCTTTGTGTGACCAGCACAGAGCCTGGAAGACAGGAGTTAAGCCAGGAAAACAGGCATGGAGGGTTCAGCGATATCCAGACCTAGGAGAGGACTAAATCTTGGAACAACAGAAGTGATCTGAACAGGGGGGCTGTGTCTACACTGGCACCTTTTTCCGGAAATGCTTAAAACGGAACCGTTTTCTGTTATAAGTATTTCCAGAAAAAGAGCATCTACATTGGCAGGATGCTTTTCCGGAAAAGCCCTTTTTCCAGAAAAGCGTCCGTGGCCAATGTAGATGCGCTTTTCTGGAAAAAAGCCCCGATGGTCATTTTCGCGATCGGGGCTTTTTTGCGGAAAAGACTACTGGGCTGTCTACACTGGCCCTTTTCTGGAACAGTTTTCCGGAAAAAGGACTTTTGCCCGAGCGGGAGCAGGATAGTTTTTCCAGAAAAGCAGCTGATTTCTTACAGGAGATTGTCAGTGCTTTTCGGGAAATTCAAGGGGCCAGTGTAGACAGCTCGCAGCTTATTCCAGAAAAGTGGCTGCTTTTCCTGAATAAATGGCCCAGTGTAGACACAACCGGAATGTTTAGTCAGACAATCAGATTATTTCCTTTATTTTTGGATTTGTTGGACTTCTCTGTGCTGACCACATGTAATTACCCCCTTACACTATAAGTCTCCAAACTGAATCCCAGGGAAGCAATTCTCTGTTTTAATCTCTCTTTTTTCAGTTGCTCTGTAACACCTAGCAACCAAGTAATGTTTCACCAAGTATGTTCTTTGTTTGGTTAATAAAAATCAGCGTTTTAAGACCATGATCTGATTCCTGTGTCCTAGAAGGCAGGAGGTACTGCGTGCATGTGCCTAAGACTACAAGGCCAACCAGTAAGAAAAATTACACATTTTTCAAGCTCTCCCCAGAGGGAGGGTTAAAAAGGGTACCCCACAGGAAGGAATTTCCCAAGTGTGCCTGGGTTCTCAAAGGGGTTTTTGCATTTGGGTGGTGGCAACAATACCATGCCAAAGCCAGGGAATCTGTGACTTTGGGGAGTTTTAAACAGAAGCCTTTAGTGGCGAGGTATTTTAAAATGCTCTTGTGGGCCCCCACCTTCTGCACTCAGAGTGGGGAACTGCCCTGACACCTCCCCCCAAGGGGAATGATGCCTCTTTTTAGCCCTTTCCCACACTCAGATCAGCTCATCATTACTCTGGCAGTGCCACAGGTCTGAGTGACATTTTACAGATGTGTACATAGGGACTACTACCTACCCTTAGACTGCAATCAATTCTGCTTTGCTGGAGCCACAGCTTTGTATCTCCACAACCACACCAGAAGCAGCTCCATCCCAATACACTAATGTACTTTTCCCTGTATCTTTGCCTACTTTTAGGATCAACTGAAATGCACAATTTCCTTCTGTACTCAAAAAAGCTCAGTGAACATTTAGGAAGCTCCTGAACTCTTCTAGAAGGACAGTATATTAATGCTTTGTCCCCAACGTTGGCTTCATGTGGAAAACAGATTAATGAGTGAGACCACCAAGGCAGACTCAGAATGCTCTAGACACAGGATTAGCATTTCAGTGCATATAAAATGGCCGTACTGGGTCAGACCAAAGGTCCAGCTAGCCCAAGATCCTGTCTTCTGACAGCGGCCAATGCCAGGTACCCCAGAGGGAATTAACAGAACAGGGAATCATCAAGTGATCCTGCCCCTATTGCCCATCCCCAGCTTCTGACAAACAGAGACTAGGGACACCATCCCTGCCCGTCCTGGCTAATAGCCATTGCTGGACCTACCCTCCATGAATTTATCTAGCTCTTTTTTGAACCCTGTGAAAGTCCTGGTCTTCACAGCATCCGCTGGCAAGGAGTTCCGCAGGTTGGTTGTGTGTTGAGTGAAGAAATACTTCCTATTGTTTGTTTTAAACCCACTGCCTTTTAATTTCATTTGGTGACCTCTAGTTCTTGTGTTATGGGAACAACTAAATATTTTTCCCTTATTTACTTTCTCCACTGCAGTCACAATTTTATACACCTCTATCATACTTCCTCCCCCTCCCGTTGTCTCCTTTCCAAGATGCAAAGTCCCAATCTTGTTAATCTCTCCTCATATGGCAGCCATTCCAAACTCCTAAAAGTTTTTGATGCTCTTTTCTGAATCTTTTCTAATTCCAATATATCTTTTTTGAGATGAGATGACCACATCTGCGCACAATATTCAAGATGTGGGTGTACCATGGATTCACAAAGAGGCCAATAAGATATTTTCTGTCTTATTATATATTACTTTCTTAACGGTTCCCAATATTCTGTTTGTTTTTTTGACTGCTGCTGCACATTGAGTGGATGTTTTTAGAGAACTAGCCACAATTATACCAAGCTCTCTCGAGTGGTAACAGCTAATTTAGACCCCATAGTTTTATATGTATAGCTGGGATTATGTTTTCCTGTAACCCGCTCTGGCAGATACTTCAAGAAATGGGCTGCTTTAGAAACCAAGCCCATTGTGTTTCACATACTGGCACTCTTGGCTCTCACCTGATAATATGCTCCTGTAGCATTGGCATCGTTGTAGCCAGGGAACTGGTTATATGGCTGGTTGCCATAGTCTTCTCCAGGCTTAGGTGCCCAGCTGTGCGGAGTGGTGCTTGAACCTGCAGCCGTCTTGAACTCCAGAGGAGCATTAGCCGCAGCATCCTGGAATTCAGGCTCCGGCTCTGTCCCAGGGGGCAGATCCTCTGTCACCATGGTGCCGGAATACACATATGACTCCACACTGACCACACTGGGCTCACTCTTGTCAGACAAAGAAAAGAAGTTCTCCGGCTCCACATCTTCATCACTCTCGTCCTCCTCCTGGGTGATCTGCTTGGTTACCTGCAGGGCAGCACTCTTGGCAGCCGCTTTGATGGCAGACGGTGAAGGAGATGTGGCCACTGCCGGCTTGGACAGAGGTTTTGGCTTGGAGGAGGAAGTCGGAGCCTTAGCTGGCTTCGACTCAGGGGCATTTTCTGCCACTTTCCTCGAGAAAGCATAGGGCAAAAGTAACCGGTTTGTCTCTTTCACTGTCAAGTTTTTGGGTTGAGGGAGCAAAGCAGACAAGCCAGAGCCCTCGCTGAGTCCCTGGTGTGTTTCATTCAGAAAAGATGGTTCAGAAACATAGGAAACAAGAAAATAGATGAGTTTATTTTCCCAACCTAGTGCCCAATATTTCCCCTAGTTTCACTTTTATCTACCTTTGCCAATGGGCAATGCTCAGCATGCACTGGAGGGACTGAAAATTATATTGGTCTGAGATACAAATGAGGCTCTATTCTGCCCTGAACCAGTGATAGAAAAATCTGACAGACCAGGGGACCAGGAAGAGCTGAAAGGGGTTTTGCAGCATGCTAGCACTGAACGGAGAGGAAAAACCTGCCAGATGCTCTCTTCTCCAAAAATAAAGGAGTGGAAGGGGGTGCTTTTAAATGAAGGTCTAATTCTCAAAGGCATCAGTCTGTATTTTCCAGATTCATGCTCTGAACATTGCTTTACCCTACAGAACCCTTTTCAGAAAGGTATCTGATCACTTACACCTTAGGCCCTCCAGTCTGGAGTTTAATCCAAATTTCACATATACAGGCTGGTTGCAAGTAAGGAAAAGATTGATGAGTTGTGCGTTTGTGCCAGATTTTCACATCACAAAGCCTAGTCTCCGCCCTGCAGGCCATTCGTATGAAGTATGAATAGTGCATAAGTGTGCCAGGTCCACAGAACCGCCGATGTGTTTGTAAAATGCCTAGCACAATGAGATCCTGATCCATGACTATGGCCCAACAGAGCTATTGAAATAAATAATCCCATTCTCAAGTTCACACCTGGAAGCAATGGGAGGCAGAATTCGGAGGAGGGAGGAAGGGGAGACACTACAGATTGTCCCTACAACCACATGCTTTTGAACATACAGAACTGTACTTTAATTATTTCATCTGGTACTTCTGCACTGGAAATCTACTTCCCTCCCAATGCCAGCTCCTCTGCTTTTACCACTCTTACAAATATTAAAGTCTAGCCTCAATATCTACTGATGGAGAATAATCATTACACCTAGGTATTATATAGTGCTTTTCATTATTTGATCTCAAAGTACTTTACAAGGGCAGCCACTATCTTAATCCTCATTTTACCAAAGGGTACCTGAGGCACAAAACAGTGAAGCCACTTGCCCAAAGACACCCAGCTGGCCAGGAGCAGAGCCAGAATCAGAACCCAAGTCCCCTGAGTGCTAGTCCAGTATTCTATCCACTAGGCCATGCTGTCTGTAATGACAGGTGTTTTCTAAATAGATAGGTCACTCCTGAACAATGTTTAAACTCATGCAGGTCAGGAAGCAATAAACAGTTACCTTCAATTCTGCTGTTTATCCAACCTGAAATCCAGGTATATTACCCTTTTTTAAATGTTGCATCTATTATGAGCTACCACCAATCTCTGGAGATAGGATTTGGCTGACTGGTAGTTTGAAAACACTGGAGTAACCAACTTGTCTGTGGAGGATTTGGATAAGTAATAAGAAATACAGGTAGGCTGTGTCTTCACTGGTCACTTATTCTGGAAAATCAGCCGCTTTTCCGGAATAACTTGCCAGCTGTCTACACTGGCCCCTTGAATTTCCGGAAAAGCACTGACGATCTACTGTAAGAAATCAGCCGCTTTTCCGGAAATACTATGCTGCTCCCATTCGGGCAAAAGTCCTTTTTCCGGAAAACTGTTCCGGAAAAGGGCCAGTGTAGACAGCACAGTAGTGTTTTCCACAAAAAAGCCCCAATTGCGAAAATGACGATCGGGGCTTTTTTGCGGAAAAGTGTGTCTATATTGGCACGGATGCTTTTCTGGAAAAAGTGCTTTTCCGCAAAAGCATCCTGCCAATGTAGACACGTGTTTTCCAGAAATACTTATAACGGAAAACTGTTCCGTTTTAAGCATTTCTGGAAAAGGGTGCCAGTGTAGACGTAGACGTAGGGTTTTAGGCTGCCCAGACTCTTTTGGGGTCCCTGAACTGAAAATCTCACTGCCCAAGTGCAACAAGTGCACAATAAGAAACTAAGTTCCCATGTTCGCACAGGGAAACTGTGACAGAGCCAGGAACTCAACTGACATTTCTCAAGCCCCATTCTGGTCTCTTAACCAAAAGGCCATCCATTTTGAAGTGAATGCAAAGTCTCTTGATTTCAAAAGCAGTGGGGTTGGACTGATAGTCATTTTTCTGAAGTACAGTACTTTGAAGTCAATTGCATTTTGTTAACCAAGTGTCTGCTTACTCTGTCACTTTTATGAACTTGGAAGCAGGTTCAGAGATTCAAGTGACTTGACTTATCTGCCGATTATTTTGTTTGCTACTAGAGATTAAGTTTCATATTAAATTAATTTACCATGTCGTTAAATTAATTTACCATTTAACCTGTGGCAACTTGATTCAACTGACTCAAAGTTTTAGTATCAACCTAACCAGTTGTTGCACAGCCTGAACATACCACATGCATATAATATGCAGCAAACAACCGGAGTTCTCCTCTGGGAACTTCGGTTGTTTGCTACTGTACATTAGTGTCCCCTTGGTTCTGATAGGAGGCTGACTGAGCGTCCCAGGTGTAGGCACAATCTTGAGCTTATCAAGTTGATTCCTCAGTAGGGATGTAAAATCACATTTAATTAGTTAACTAGTTAAACTTAACACTCAACCAGTTAACCGATCAAGGCGGAAGTCCTGCTCCAGTCCAGCCTCTGTCCACCATGAGCAGGGAGCTGCTCCAGTCCCTGCTTGTTAACAAGAAGTAGTAAGCTTCATCCGTTAAGGGCGAGGCTTACCAGGTAACCACTCACATCCCTATTCCACAGGAAGCATAAGTTTGAGAAGTACATTTTAAGTTATTACCTGAAGAGAATTTTTCTTCTTTGCTGGTTCATCTTCCTCTGAATCTGACTGAGAAAGAAAAATAAAATCAATTTAGGCAGCACACGTGACAGTAAAAAGCAAAAGATAAATGTACTCATTCTCCAAGAGATCATGTTGGCAGTGGGGCCAGCTTTTGGGTTTGCAAGGATCCTAGGTGCTGAAAAGGTAGTGGGAGATTGATGTTCTTTCACCTACAGGCCTACTGATATGGGGAAATCAGGTCAAGAAGTGGTGTCTTGCTAAAGGCCAGCCCTGGTTACTATTATGAGAAACAATAATGGAAGCAGAGACTGTGCTACTCACTGATGTGTTTAGCGATAGTTGTAACTAATGCAGCCTGGACAGGGCCACATATAAGACACTAAGCTATTGTAAAAACTATAACTATAGAAACAAGTGCAGTAGTGTTAGTACTTTAAATCTCATAAGAGCAGTTTTGATGCAACTGATCAACGATTTGTTCAAATTAAGATCAAGCTCATCGGTACAGTATGTGGATTAAAAGACCCATTTAATTAAAATTAAATTGGATTTAAAATATTAAGGCTATCACTTTAATATTGTTACAAAACGGGTATGTGGGGAGAGAGCAAATGAGAAGCACATTTTGAGCTGCTCACCAGTGATTAGCATACAGAGGGCCAACAGCGATTTTAAAGTGTTGGAGACTTTTTAATATCAGAAACAAAACATTGAGGCAAAACTTAGTTTGAGTCTTTTATAAGTCAGGCTCTGTTTTGAAATCACAAAGAATTCCCACCCCAAAACTGAGAGCCCTCTGCTTTTGTGTTTAGACAATGTAAGCCCAAGAGGAAAAACAAACTCTTAACATCGTGGATCTGGTAATTTAGCATCTTTTTAAAGATGCTTAGAAGTTTTAGACACCCAAGTCCCATTAGAAATTAGTGTTTGGAGATTGACTCTTACACGTAAGGCCCCTTTCCATGCTCTGTCATCATAAAGGGACCTTAGTGAACAATCAGGCCCTAAAGATTTATTCATTCCTATAGTTGGACATGGGGATCTACAGAGATTAAGGGAGACATGGCCACTGTCCAAGTTTACTACCTACATTATACAAATATCTAGCTTCATGCTTTCCAAAGTAAACAAATAAGGAGAGTCAAGACTTAAAACAACATGTAAGCTCTGATATGTTTAAGCAGAGACTGAGGTAGAAAATCCTGGTGGGATGCAAGGTGAAAGAAAGGAACTTTGAGGAAGGGTTTGAAGGACAACAACTATCACAATGGAAAAGAGGTTTCATTCCAGGTGTAGAGTAGTGAAGCATAAGAATGGCTCCATTGTTACACATTTCTTTTTACTGACTTTTGCTCATCAATGTGCTAGCCAGGGACAACTAGTACCACATAAACTGTGCAAAGTAATATGCTCCTACATGGGATAGGAACGTTGATGATTAACAGGTAGTAGCTGAAACTCCAGCAGGGCATGCCACAGGCAGGAGCACTCTAGGCCACAGCAGCCCTTGTCCGTGGGGGGTGGGGAACACTCCAGCCAGGTGCAGTGGGTGGGTGGGGGCGCTCTAGCCCAGCCTTCTTAACTGCCCCCTCCCGTTTAATCAGTTAACTGGTTAAACTTAACGTTTGACCAATTAAACGAGATTTTACTTCCATAACATGGGGTAAGAAAGGATCAATACACAAAGAGAAACAGATTGTCTCAGAATAGCAGTCATTAAGCCTCCTCATTAACTTTACTCCAGTAGGCTGGCATCTGTTTTATTATGAAATGTCTGTTTCTCAGCTAAATGCTGTGAGGAAGGGAATGCGCAAATAGAGGATGTAAGAGCGTGGAACACTAGTAATGAGTTTGCTAACAAGACTGATCAATACATCGCATTGCCCAACAGATGTACATCGTCAGCAGAAGGGATAGAAATAAGAGGATTATGACACACTAGTAGAGATGGACAGAATGGAGCACACTTAAAGCAAAGTCATTTACCTCCCCACCCCCAATGGAGGTCTGCACACTACAAGCAGCATGAAAGCGGAATGAATTTTTCTCGTTTATCAATGCTTTCAATAAAATTCAAATTCACTATAAACAGTTCCCACTGTATAGCAACAAGATATTATCTGCCACATCTCTTATGTTTGGGCATTTTTGGTTCTGGACTTAGGCTGGGCCACTTAACAGACAAACCAGAGCTCCTAGTTGTTGGGAGGATGGAGAACAGTGTACATTCTTCTCTACCATCCCTAGAGACTCCTAGCAAGGTGAAAGGGGAACTGACATTGACACAATTCCAGTTCTCCCAAGGCTAAGATGCTGTCTAACCAATGACATCGCTTCAACTATTTATAACTTCATACTCAGAGTCCACTTTCTGCAGCTGCCTGTCTTAAAATAGGCAGCCTGTGGTCTCAAAGACTTTTCTGATAATTCTTTGCATCCTAAGAGAGGCAATATATGTAATTCCTAGACAGGGAATAGCGAGATAATGTGCCAGGGAATAGGTCATCTTTCAGAGAGACCTAAAACCAAGCAAGTCCTGATCACTTGTGGGGCATAATCCCAGCTGTACAACGTCCAATTTCAATCTGCCTGCCTAAATTTGTGCTACAACAGCAGCTGGATGAGGCTATTCTTCCACTTCCTTTCTTAGTTTTTTTAAAAACAGGATTGCTTGGCACTGTTAAAAAGCTGTCACTTTCATTCAGGAAGAGGCTGCATTTTACTGCCATACAGATCAATCCTATACAGCATACAGTAGCTTATATGTAAGTCTTTATGCTAAAATACCACAGCTTCTTTCAGAATAGTAGACATTACTGAACCAATGTATCTCCTGATGGGAGTAGCCCTAACCAACTAGTTTCACTAGTTTTGACATATGTATGTCCTAAAAACTCAACAACTATAATCCTATCACCCTAATCTTTAGCAGTAAAAGAACGGAGTTCTGTGCAGGCTCTTTCAAAGGAAAAATAAAGGTCCCATTGGTTCTGCATACTTTGAAAACATCACTTGCCATAGGAGTGCTTACCCTCTGTTCAACCAAGGCTATTTATCTCCCCTTCCTATTGTACAGCATATAACCAGCTGCAATTTCATGGTGCTTAGTGACCCAGTGGGATCAGAGGCACTATGAAAACAAAAAGGCAAGTTCCACATAAATTACCACCTAACCCTCAAATAATTAGTTTTCAATAGACAAAGTTGAGTTTTGATGCAAAATTTGGACTAGCAAAATAAAAAAAATATTTTGGATACCCCAAAACCGGGACCATCCTGCTTCCACTCATTCATTAATTCGCTTTTCTAAAGAACTTGCCAGCAGGTACTCGTGTTTTGCTGTTGTATGATTGTACATAAGGTTTCTATGCCAACATAACGCTGCAAAGCGCTTTAGGATTAGAGTTGCTGGCCGGGGCTCATCTCCCTTGGAACGCTGCCACGTCAGTGCCATTTGCTCGGACCCCTCAGCGGGCTCGGATGCTTGGAGTCAGGACAATATTTCACAGGCATACAGGCTCACCCCAACGAGAGGGGGCAAGTGCAGGGACACGCTCCCTGGGGGGGGGTCTCCCTCTACTGGTGTCAGAAGCCCCTGGGGTGGGGGGTGCCCCCATTCCATTGCAGAATGCGGCCCCCCCTGCTCAGGGGGGAGGCGCCAGGGGATCCCCCCCGACCTTGTTTCATACTCACATCCCCCTTGTGCAGCTCGGGGGCCGCGATCTTCACCGGCTCCATCCTCTTCTTCCCCTTGGGGAGGCTCGAGCCGGCCCCTCCCCCCCGGGGAGCGGCAAG